GGTAATGGTCTCTTGATTCAGTTACAGCACTTGGATATTGAAAGGCGTTTTTCTCATTTGGCTTATAGTCAGTTAGCCAGAACATATGTAGACTACGTAAATGTTGTTACTGGATCTTCTGGGACTGGCCCATAACTTTGAATTAATTCAGTCTACCTTGACTGAAATGTTCTCTTCATATGGATTCAAAAGAATTTTTAGTGTCCTAATGTTCAATGTTGTACCATAAGACACTGATATAGGTGTATCAGTGTATATGTATGTTTGTAGTGTATATACTTATTAAAGCTCATGACTTCTATTTTGTTATTTTCTTTAAGGTCCAATACAAACCACAGAATGAGACACACTTTATATTTTCTCATCTAATACAAATTATAGAGATTTCAATCATATGCCTCAGCACTATATATTTTTATCAGTAGACTCTACAATATTAGTGCTATATCTGGATTGTTTGAATACAAGAGACATTTCATGCAATTATTTTGCAGAGCAGAACTGGTCTGACACACTTTCCATCCAGTTACTTCAGATATACAAAGAAGAAAATGTAGTGGTCGCTATTAACAGTTTTTGCCTAACATCTTATATGGTATCTGAGAATATGGATGGATAATAAATCTGATACCTAATGTTTAGTCGATTTACAGTGGCAATTTCAGTGATGACTATGACACAGTGTGTCCGGTTTTGCAGCATACGTAGCATAGATCTTGTCCACACGCAGAAGTCGAAGTAATTTGAACTCATCCTGCTAAATTAATGTAGTACTTCTATAATATTGACTTAGTTATATTTTTATGTAGGTGCAGAAAACAGGTGTATGACCACAGTAACTTTGTTCCTATTTATTGGTATTATACTGTGGATGGTACGAGCACATCTAGAATTACTACATAAAATACCCATGTAGAGGGCATAAAAAGTATGTAGATCCAAGTTTGTTTTGAAAAGTTGGATTTAGAATGTAGACTTCTTTAGGCAAGTTTCAATTCTAGTCATTTATTACCTAAGTCATTGCTGTCATCTCTGAAAGCAGAAAATAATATGGCAAGCATTTGTTTTGTAAAAGTACTCCTACAGGGAATGGCGAGGCAGTCAGGAGCGTTTCCCGCTGCAAGCTCACAGTGAATTAAGTTCACACTGGTGAGTTCAATGAACTGACCAAATGAAAATTTTAAAAGTAGAGCTATAATCAGAATTGTTTGCCACCAGAACTGATTTTGAGGAATTTTCTCACTATTCTGAATGTAGTATTAAACAATATTTATAATAGCTATTAATGTATCTTTAAGGTCAATGTAAAAGAAAAACTTTCATGTTAATCAGTGGCATTATTTTTAACCGAAATACCTTCTGTGACCTTACATGGTTATTTTCTTATGAAGCTACTATGAATAATAAATAATAAGTCATTCCATTAAGTAACAAGTAGTATAGAAATGGTATTTTAAAATTATAGCTTACCATATATTTCATTTTATAGAAGATTTTATACTTCATGTTGACAATGGTAAACATCATTTATATAACATACACAGTGAAAAATGCATAGAGAAGAATACACAACTCATTGGGATAGAGAAGGAAAGAACTTAAACTGATCACTCATCTTCAGTGCTAGCTCACTACTGTATAGCTTTTATTTTTACGTTTTCAAAATAATGCTGAACAATTAGCATTATTTTTTTATGATGCTTAAAATATTTTCGAGTGAAACTACAGATATAAAGTAAACTATATGTACAAAATGTACTTGGAGAAAAAACGTTAAAACTCTTGCAACAGTATCACAGAGGTAGCCCCATTCCTCATGATGATCTATGGTAACAATTTGTTGAGATTTTTTTTTTTTTTTTTAGTAGGAGTAACGCAGTTAGTTTGCTGCCTATGCCTATTATCATGCTTACTGCTCATCCTTTTAGATAAGCCCGGTCTCATTTTATTAGGAACACAGTGTAGTTTGATTCTTTATAGATTAAAGCAGATCATTAAATATAAATCTTTCAGATGTATTCAGTCTCATCATAGGCTATATTTGAGCATCATTTTCAGGAAGATAAACTGTGACAGTGATTTATGCAGTATTTTTAGGGTATAAATCTCACTGTGCCCTTTCATATGTGTTTAGAGAATAAAGATTTTCTTTCTTAATGCTTTTTGTAGCCATCAACAAAGCATAAAAGTGCCATTCTTTTGTGTAATGCTGTGTTCTTTAGAGTCTTAGAGTAGGATTATGCATACTGTTTGATTCAAACTAATTAACAACACTACAGAATCAGTGTGTATACTTTCTAGATGGTATAAATCATGATTGAGTTCTATGTACGTTTTATGTTTTAAAGACAGGGAAAAGTTTTGTGACAGAAATCTGGTCTCTAGGCATGATAGTAATGCAAAACACCACGTATGGCTAGAAATAGCATCTGGCCATTAAGAAAATGGACAAAAGAGCAGTGAGGGCATATAGTATCACAGCTGACAGTGAAAGGGAAACTTTCAGAGACATTTTAAAACTTCTTTGCAAAAAACCTATGAGAACTTACTATAAAGTTGGTATATTCTACAAACGATTTATCTCACTGTGAGTAAGAAAAAAGTGCTAATTGAAAAAACTATAAGAAATTTAATTCTTTGATTATTTTTTAAATTGCAAATGAATTAAATGAAAAGTCTTGATAAACTTCTCACATCATGACTTTTCTTTCTAATTAGCTTCCTGTATAATTTAAGCATGTCTGTTTTGTGAATGTGCGACCCAATTAGCTATTGAATAAAATGTTCTAGAGCATATTTTGTTGTGTACAGCTTTTTAATGATGATAACAGAGTTTCTGTAAAAATGTTTGGATAATGATCATTCTATTATCTATATCGATAAAAACATAAAAGGATCTGATGTGGGGTTTAGTTACAATTTTTAGTGTTACAGTATGGAGTTCATAATTTTCTTTCTTCTCATACATAAGGATAGCACCATGTTTGCGGCTACAAATTGTCAGTTTCCAGTCCTAAAATAATCTATTTATCTTCAAAATCAACATAATGTAGAACAAGTTTTTCATTAGAAAATCAGTCAAATTTTTAATCTTTTGTGTAAAATATTGCTAATTTCATGGAATCATTTAGATTGGAAATGACCTCTGAAGAGTATCTTGTCCAATTTCCTGCTCAGAGCAGGTGAAGTTAGATCAGGCTGCTCTGGAACTCATCTGGTCAGGTTTTTAATATCTCCCAGTATGCAGGTTCTGCAGCATTTTGAGGCACTGTTTTCTAATATTTTATTACCCTCATGATAAAAATTATTTTCCTTATATGAAATCAGAATTGTTTAGGACGTTCTTTTGACTTTTGTGCCTTGCTGTGTTGACCTCTTAGAGTCCACCTTCAAGAAGAGTCTGTCTTTTCCAGTATGTTGCTGTCTGTGGGAATCCAAAACTCAGTACTCCAGATGTGGTCTTACCTTGTATTCGTCTTGCTAGTATGGCCCAGTATGCACTTGGCCTTTTTTGCCTGGACAGATCATTAGGGAATGGGAAAATGCTTGTGGAAGTTTAGGCACATGGAATGAGAGGCATAAGCCTTAGCATCTTAGCATGGCAAGGGCTGCAGTGGGCAGAATATGGGCTTTAGCTGTAGTTGTTAGGTGCTATTCCCAATTCTCTTGCTGGGAGCTTTGTCAGGTTAAGTGAGGCTCACTATGCTCCATCTTACCTGGCTCTATCAACTGGTAGATGAAGAAGGCATGGAATGGTGTGGGATTTCTAGATGGAATGTGCTGGGACCCAGGGCAGTGATTTCTTTGCTCAGCAAACACAGGAGTGGTTGCAGACCCAACCTGATCAGAGAGGCTGCGAGTGCCCCACAAACTTGTATTAATGAGGTAGGGGAAGCTCTGGACAACATGCTCCTTTCCCATTCCCTGTTTAGCTAAATCCCACTCAATTATCTTTGCTGCAGTTTCCCATGTATAGAATAAGGTTGAGCGCAGAAGGTACGCAGTAGAAAAGGCTGTCATCAGTCTACTCTAAGAATAAATTTGCAGCTGTTTTCAGGCTTGTGAAATAGAGCAGCCCTGAACCTATCTATTTAACAAGAACGAACGGAGGAAATGGTATAGCAAAGAGAGAAATGTTTTGCTGGAAATTTTTCTTTGCTTTCTAAATGGCAGCTGTCTGAAGCTGCTCAAAAATGCAGTTTTGGATATAACTATTATAGCATGGAACTGTGGAGTCCAGACAAATAAGTGTTATCATTCAGCATCTAGCAAGGCCTACCCTGTATCCAGTGTTTCCAAGTATGGCCTTCTTTGCCAAGAAATTTTATCTGGGCAGAACTTTGAGGAAAACAGCAGTCTTCTAGGATTTCTGGATGAAGGTCTCTGTGTGCATGCACATGCATAGACCAGCTGCACAGCTTTTCACGCAGATATTTCTGCCTGGGAAAGGTGGCAACTCGGCACATGATTGTGTTGTTTTTTGGTTGATAGCACAAGTGCCACCTGTGGGTACCTGTCTCTAAGTTGACAAAGATACTGTGTCATATGAACCTTGAAAACTGAGAATTTTCTTGTCTAGTGTTTGAGATCCTTTATCTACAGAAGTATTTGCTAATTAAGTGCCTCTTCCTCCACATTATAGCAATTTTCTGAATTCGTAAGTGTAGAACAGATGTGCCTGAAACATGCAGTTTTGCCTTGTACTCCAGTGGTTTTAGTTTATTCTCTCTTACACTGTAACCATTCAACCATAACTTTTGTTAAATATCAGATATTAAAAACATCCAAAGAGATTGAACTTACTGTTACGTAGATATTCTGTTACATAGAACAAAAGCCACATTTTGTCATGAAGACATTACTTGCAGAGATTTTTTTACCCTATGGTGCTGCTTAACCAGTAATGTTTTCTTAAGAAGGGTCTATCCAAACGAATTTACACATCTGTATCTGAAGTTCTACTGTATTAATTGACCTGATCTTTTGCATTGTACTTTCAGGTTCGTATTTTTACCTATCTGATTGGAAGAGAAGCTGCTTTTGCTGATAATCTGAAGTGGATGGCTTGTGCTAACAAAGGTTAGTTACCCTTCATCTGTGAAAGCCTTGTTTTCAAAACCCTATTGATGAGCCTTCCTGCATATCTGACCCTTCTACAGATATGGTGTCACTGACAACTAGAGAGGATGGGTTGTTTTTTTTTTCCAGGAAAGGAAAAGATCTATTTATCTTGTAGCATACAATTTAAAAAGCAAAAAAAAACCCAATTTGAAATTTATTTTTTACTTAAAGTACGTGTGAAGCTTTTAAACTGTGTGATCTTAAATTTTTGTTCAGAGACCAAACTTTAATTTCCATGCATTTTTTCTATTATAGCTGTTATTACTCAGGCAGAGTTAGTTTGGTTCCTAAGAACATTGGGTACAAGTTCTGTTGAGTTAGGCATGGTATGTAAAACACCAGACATTCTGTCTCTTGAGGAACTGACAGTGTAATTGAAAAAACAGTTTTGTATTCTTTAAGGAACGAACATTAAAACATGTAAGATGCTGAGATGCTACAATAAAAGGGAAGACTAATATAAGTAAGAATGATTCAGAAAAAGAAACAAGCCCCTAATTAATCTTCAGGTTTTCCTTTTCCTTTCCTCTCAGAAAAAAAGAAAAAAAAGTTTTTTTCCCCCCGTTGTGCCACATTACATTATGATGAATTGCATCAGGTGCTATCCATTTAGTCATTATTTCTTTAACTACTGTTATGTCCAGCTGATGGAAATTACTCAGTTTGAAGTCTTGTCTTAATCAGCTAATATTACACCATAATTTAGTTTAAATAATAGTATAAGAATCCTTTGAAGCATCTTTTTGAAGACAATTTAATCAACAAAATCTTTTAGCTTTTTAGCCCAGCTCTACAGATTCATAAAGATCTAAGTACAGCAACTGAGAAATCAGGAAATAGAGACTGCCTTAGTAGATCATCTGGTCCATGTCTTCCTTATTCCCAGAGGAGGAAAAGTGGTCACCTTTGTCATTATTCAGGACTACTTTGTTCTTTTCAGAGCCATGTTGCTTTGAGAGAGACTCTTACTCATATGAATCAACTAAACAGCTTAATGACTGTTTCTTCTATATTTTTTTTCTCTCAGTTTAATTGTTACAATACCTGCCTTCTGATAGCGTGCAATGCAAAAATCTTCTACCTCTAATCAGTAATTACTTTTTTTTTTTATAGCTTTGAAAATCACAATTGGAAACAGCGTAAGTCGTTATGTCAGACAGTAGGGATTTAGATCTTTTTCTTACAGTTTTCAGCTACAGCTCATCCATTTTCTTTTAGTGAAATGAAGGATTACAGCACAACAGATGAGGAGTGTAGTAAAGCTGGTCTAAAGATAGGATGAATGGCTGGACTGCAGCTTACTACTTGCACGGGTGGGCCAAAGTATGTTGTTGTCACTGAGGGTCAATGACCCTAAAATCAATTTTCCTTGCAGTCATTTTCCCCTTGGAAGCACAACATAGATGAAGGCTGTTCGCAGGGTTTCCAGCTGACTGGATTGTGGACAGCAGTCCTTTCCTTCGAAATGGGTCACAGGGGAAATTCATACCACCTTGCAAAACTTCTTTAGCTTCTAGATTCTGATGGTGAAACCTTGAAAAACCCCAAGCATGTTTTTCTGTTACATTGTTATGTATAAGTAGGGCATATCTAGAGGGAGTTAGCTTAATGAAGCAAAACACCAAGCCATTTTAAATACATTAAAACGTTTAACAACCCCAAAGTCCCTCTAGAGCGTTTTGTGAAATTTGCAGTGATTTACTCTTCTGTATCATAAGCAAGTGCATATAAAGGAAAAGAATAAAGATTTGCCAAGATTCTGAAGGGAACAAAGGTAAAATTTTCCTAGTGCTTGGCGTGCGTGTGCCAGGTTTTAAAGTAAGCAGGCACTACCTTTCCTTCAGCAGTTTCTTCCAGCAGAGAGCCATAACAATAAAGATGGCAGTTAATGCATTACTTACTAACAAAATAGCCAAGATTAAATTTTTTTTTCAGTAAAATTCTCTATTGCATTAGTAAGTTGACAGCCTGTGTTTTAATTATTATTATATTTTTTTAAATTTTTGTTACGGATCATCCCTGTGGCCGGCATGTTGTCGCATGGACGAAGGAGAGGGTTCATCAGGACAAAGGAGCAGAGGCTGAGCAAGGAATGTAGGGAGAAATGCTTTGCGTATCGGAGGTCCAACAGCGGCTCTAACTGCCACAGAGGACAGATCAGCCCGGAGGCAAGTAGTGCCCCAGCTGCAGCAGTTTATAGACTATTGTATTAGCAGAGGAGAGCTGCGCACAGGAAGCCCCAGTCACATCCATTCCCATTATTAGCATGACCCCAGCACCTCCTGCACGGAGAGCTCTTGTCGGGGGTGGCAGGCAGCCAGTTACAGATACTGTTCACCTGCTTGAGAGGCCTCTTAGGTGGGGGGGCATTCTCCGTGGGAGTTTTACAGCTGCAGTGAAACAATGAATTCCCTCCTTAGTCCGTACCCAAAGAGGATTTTTTAATTCTGGTATTTTATTAGTTGCAAGAATATTGCATCTATTTTGCACTGTGTCCAGGAAACAAAAAGTACTGCACTCCATGTAAAAATCCGCTGGAGGCATTTTGCAAAGTTATAAGCCTAACGGTGGACATTTTAGAGAAAAACAAGCCACCCAAAAACATTGCAAGGACTGTGTAATGTGGAAAGGCAGCTCAATCGCAGAGCATAAGTGTCTGTCTTTAACCACATCATTATACATATCTCACACTTGTCATTACCAAATCTTGCCCATTTCCTTCACAAATTTTTTCCTGCTGGAGAGGAAAAAATAGTAGTGCTGACTGTAAGGGGCTCTAAGGTGGCATAATTCACACACTGGGGAGCTGAGAAGCAGGTGTTAGAATGCAAAAATTGAAGCATGGGTTTGCTGCTATTTCTTACATGGCCTCAGCAGCTGTGCTCAGGAACTTCAGAGCATGTCTTTATCTGATGATTAAACCTTGATATAGGAAGAGTAAAGTTTTTAAATCCACACAGTACCTCTGATCTCTAGATACGAGAGAGAAATTTAGCAGTGTAGGAAGCTAATTCTTGTGAAGTTTGGCTTTTGTTACACATGGCTGCAAACATTTGGATCATCAAAAGGCTAAATATACAGTGTAAACAAACTAAAAGATTGTTACCTAATGCGGTCCCTAGCTGTATAGTAACTTTTAGTAGAGTTTTCCCATTGGGAGAAGATTGATATATAAATATTAGAACAGGCATTAAAAATATAGGAAATATCGTTCACCTAGCTTTTGCAAATCATTTCACTTTGTAAAGAAAGCTGAAACTTAAGGAAAACAACTTTTTGTAGAAACGAAGTAAATAGATGAACCAGAAATTCACAGAAGGGAGGTAATTTTTCATATTACCTGAGTTATGGAAACTTGTGAAATTGTAGATTTTTCGAATATGAGCTCAAAATCACAAACCATATTTATAAGGAGATTAAACAGACAAAATCTTCTATGCAAGAAAGGAACTATTCCCAGAAATTATAAATGAAACCCACTCCTGAGATCACATTATAAAAAACTTCAAGAGAATCCATATGGTTGTGCCTTATAACACCATCTTCATCTAAGTCTTGTCTTTCACATATCTTTAGCAGCAATTTTTGCACTTCACTAATCTCAGTTACTTGAAGCAACCTGATTAGAAGGAATAAAATCTCTAACAGACTCTTTCAACTTTTCATCTGTTGCAGCCTGATGTATGAATAAATCTGTGATACACAGATATGATTTAAAAAACAGGATTTATTCACACTAATTCCTTTTCTTCCACTTGCTAAACTTGACTTCTTTAGCTGTCACACTCACTGGGCAGGGAGAACTGCATGAGTAGCCTGCAGCTACAGGCGTGCCAGTATACCTGTGCTGATTTAGCATCTGGCTGCTCCCAAATGGGATGCTCTGTGTCACTTCGTTCAATCTCGGGCTAGTCACAAAGTTTCACTTGTCTTTGAGACCTTTATTTCTTTGCACAGTTTATATGAAATTGATTCAGAATTACTCAGTATCTCTTTTAGTCTCAGGAAATTAGGCTAAAAACTGTTTTCTCTATTGTGCAGTTGAGACATACGGTTTGTAAGTACTACAACAATAAATAAATAGTCTGTAGCATGCTGCCTGGAGAGTTCTGTGTGAGTTGTGATACGATAGCATGCGCTCTCAGAAATACTGCAAAGAGAAATACCTCATGTAATACACATCCATATAAAGAATAGTTACAGGTAAGTGCTCAAGCAGGGATCTCTGCTCATGTTGGCTGTACTTGGTCCAGATGGATCTCTTCTAAATGAAGGAAAAGAAGAAAAAAAAAGAAAAAAAAAAAATCGGCATTATCAGTGTCTCGTAACGTGTATAAACCTGTATGACGCAACACTGAAGTGCTTCAGATTGGGTCCTGTTTTCTGTTTCTTTTTTTTTTTTTCTTTTTATTTGAGTAATCTAGCTAAATTTTTTCCACTTGAAAAACTGACATAAAAACGTTTTAGGAGGCAATCAGAACACATGCTTATTTTACAGAAAGATATTTTATCTCAAAGGTAATTTATAGGCTGTGATTAAAGAATTTTCCAGGCATAGACATCCAGGAGCTTCTTAAACAAGTCTTTAAATGAGTCTTTAAGGTTTTGATTTTAACGAAGTATGGCATTAAAAAGTGTTAACTAGTTGTAATTTCACCCTGTACGGGTAAGAAAATACTGCTTGATTAAAACAGACCTTTCTATCACCTTAGATACAGAATAAATTTATCCTAATATCCTCTATCCTCTGACTTTCCACGCATTATTTAATATGCTTATATATAGAAAGTCCTATTGTTCACTGTACACTACTCAGTGCAAGTAGATCTCTGCTCCAACTGTAGTTTTTCACTCTGTTGAAAGAGAAGTGCAAGTACTGGAGTAACATGTGCTGAAAGTACATGCGCTCAACGCAGCAAATAGCATTGGAGTGGTGATGTAAGATTGCGTAGAAAACACTGAAACAAAACAGTGACCAAGTCTGCCCTTTAAGGACAAATAAAAACTTGTCCATGGGGACAATTGAAAATACGTGTTTGGTAAAAGGAGAGATGGACATGCACGGAGGCCCTCTGCTTTAAATCTCCTGCAGAGAAATGAGCAGCGTTTGTGTGCTCTTTCCTTTTAATGTCTTAGTCCTTATTTATAACTATTGTACACTAGTCTAAGCTGGAGGAAGAAAGGCAGAAGGCTGATTAGTCTATTTGTGCTTCTGTTTAATTTTTTCTGAATTTCTGAGTAGCCTGTTCTTTTGAGTATGTAACTTGAAACATGTGAACAGTGCTGAATATGGCCTCTGAATATTGGTTCTCTTTTAAGCTTTCTGAAATGAGACATACCATTTTCAGGCACTTTGACCTGATTTAGGAAAATGTAGGTCATTACCTGTAAAATGAGTGATCCACACAGTTCTGAAATATTTTGAATCCTTGATTAATAGCATTATAAACCACAGTGTGTATCTATGCATACATACACACACATATATGTATGTAATTTATGAGGTTATCTATGTGAATAGCTCATATTGGCAAATCATCGTATTTTGACTACGTATTGACATTTACACCAAATTAAAAGGACCGGATAGCGAAGTGTCCCTTATTACTTACAGGAGGGAGAAACCCATACTTTGAGTTGGGACACGCAGCAGTCCCAAAATTGGAGCAGGCGGCATTTCAGAAAGAGTCATGTACACATTGCTTTTTCGCATGAGTGTTCTAAGCCAATAATTCATGAAAGTACACTATAATTTTCCTTTTTTTCACCATATACATAGAATTCTGCTTTCTCAAGTACAGATTTCCTCGTTAAACTTATGTCAATCATTTTACTCTATAGCTGAAAAAGCTTTCAGAACCTTAGAAAAAAAAAAGCTGTTTCGAAGCAAGAGTTAAACCTCAATAGTATATGTAGTAGTCAATGTCCTCACACAATGCTGAACTTAACAGAAAAAAAATCAAATAATTAAAATTCCTTAAGCAGAATATTGAATGTTTGAACAGTATGAATATTATACTACGAGTATGAATACTATACTAGGAATATTTGAGATCATAGTATAATCAAATCAGTTTAGCATTAAAAAACCCCAGCACGTCTGCTTTTTCTTACTAAGTTGAAAATATGCATTAGGCTACTACTATGGCTCGTTTTATGTTATAGATCTCTGCTATAAAGTCTGTTCTTACACTGTCTTAATTCATACATAGATGAAGTGTGTGTAGAAACATCAGTTTTGTACTGCATGAATTATTTGCAGGTGTATTGAATCAGAAAGTTCTAACATTCAGACTACAGAGTGCTCTTTCTATCTTGACAAAGTTGACCCTGTCTACAATAAACACAGCTCCAAAGTTCTTTGCAGCTGCCATGTTTTCTGATGAAGCTTAGTGTTCCAGCTCCATAGAAGTTGTGATCTCGTCAAAAGACTAAAATTGTAGCAAGGCCTCTTTCATGACAATTCCATATTGGCCTTTTCTCATTAAGGAAAAGGAAAGTATATGAAGGGGAAGTGCTGCATTTACATAAGGCTTGATGAAACTATGCCCTTGAAATTTGTCAGTCATTCGTCACCCTTGCATGATGTGGGCTCCAGATGCCAAGTTTGTGATGTATAAAGATACTTGACATCTAAGCACTGAAAGGAAAGTGGTGACAGCTCAAATAGCTGTGGCCTCTGCTGTTCCTAGTGCTGTCAGGTTGTAGGAGATTAACAAAGCTGTGATCACTAAGCCAAGCAATTCTAGTTGTAGTCTACACTTTCTGTGACTTGCTATTTGTAAATAACCTATTTCTATTTGATGTTTAGTCACATCCTATAAGGATGAGCATTTTAGAGCATATGTAACTACAGTTTTGTTACTGTAGTTCTAATCTGTAATGCTTCTTGAAACTGGATGAGATGTGATTGGACAAAGTTAATACCAGTTCTAACTTTTAAAGTATGCAGTGTTTAGAAACAAAACCGCAAACCTTAAACTTCTTTACCATTAAACAACAAAAGTTTTCTGGAAATAGAAAGTTTAGGATAGGCAGTGCAGTGGTTCATAGCAATATTGGGAACCCAGTCCTTCAAGATTGGCTAAAGGTTTCACAGACTTCTATTTTTATCAGTTACTACTGTTTGAGGCTGCTTCTTATGAAACATTCTTTTTTTTTTTTTTGCATTTCTTCTTTGGAAATGAACAAGCAGAAAACATGACAGACATAGAACATCATATGTTGTTGCAATCTTCCTTAATCTGTTCTGTCTGGTTTATAACTTGGAATTGTGTGTTTCCATAGGGTTTTTTACTCAGATCTCTACGTTAGCTGATGTTCAAGAGAATGTCATGGAATATCTCCATGTTCTTAGCCGACCAAAGGTTATTGACCAAGAGCACGATGTAGTATGGACTGAAGCATATATTGACAGCACTGTAAGTCTGCATGTTAAGGCATTTAATATAGGCTTACTGCATATAATGAGGAATTAGGAGCAAAACTGTTGTTGTAGAAACACTGGTTGGGCGTCTGATTTCTGTTGCTGGAATGTGCCAATTCAGTATAAGAATCAGGACTTGGTATCTTTGTTACAAGTAAATAATTCAAGATTACTGAACTTTAGCAGATACTTATATATTGTAAATTGCATAGAAAATAATGAATGAAACATAAGTAACAGCATAATTTTAAAATTTATTACTCCAAATGTACATTTCTTTTATTAATCAAAAATGGGCAGTGAAAAGAGATTGATAAGATTGAGTAACCATTTTTTCTAAATGTTTTAAAGTGTGTCAATGAATGTCAGTATAAAAGCATAGGCTGACAAGAATCCATATTTTAGTATATAAAGGTGGGTCATCATCTAGGGAACAACTAGTAGGGGAAGAATAATGAGAAGATTCTGCCTTTTAAAATTAATTGAATCGGTGATATGCTAACAAAATTGTCATAAATATCTAATTTTAATTTGACATCCTTGTGAAACGCTGGAGTTGAAGCTGAACTTTCCGTTATGCAGTGACTGAGCACTCATGATACTTTTGTATCATTTGTGGTAAATCATCAGATTTGCAGATATAGATTGTTCATTTTCATGGGTTGGTCTGAAATAGCTTTTTATCTGTTTCCTTTTTCTTGTGTTTCTTTTTATCCAGTTAAAATATCATGGTTCATATATTATCCATAGAACAAGACTTTGTAGCAAGTATCCTGTCATTTAGTACAAGTGATGCTAAGTATTCATTAAAATTAATTAAATTTTTACTTTCATGAAGATAGAACAAGGTGGGAGAATCTCGTCAGCTTCACTTCAATACTTGGTGTTTATTTTGTTTGTTTTGTTTTGAGTCTGTAATGCTTGTAGGTTTTATTTTAAATCAATCCAAAATATTCTAGGAAAAAACTCCACACTGGGAATAGGGTTGTGCTTCATTTCTACATTTGCCTTAGGTCTTTTCTATTCTTCAGTTATGGCCATGGGTAATGTAAAAGAAATACTAGAACTGCAGTTATGAAGGTGAAACAAAAAAGTGCTTGGAAATATTGCTTTGGAAGGAATTTACTTATCTGTTTACTTTTTGTAGAGAACATAGTAATCCAGTCGTCTTTTTGTTCTCTTTCTTTTATTGAAACAGAAGGGTGAGATTAACAGAAGTTACCTGTTATCACTCTCCCTTCAGGGCATCCCATGAGATGGGGAGATGACTAGGAAAACCTAGTTCTTTTTCACTTCTTGCTTTTATACGCTTGAAGTAATCAGTGTGTGCACATGTTGAAAGGAGTTTGGGTGTTTGCTAGAGAGTAGCAGGAAGAGATCCATGTAAGCGATGTTTTAGCGCAACTCTCCTCCTTGTCCTTTGCCTTTGAATCCCGCATTAAAAGTGCCGCAAACAAAATCTTCCTCCTTTCTCAACACCAAGTCCTCCCCTTTACCTACCGACAAACTACAATATGCTCTTTCAGAATTAATTTTACACTTTACTCTCTCTTTCATCTGTTAATCTGTATTTCTTCAATCATTGCAGGAACGAAAGTTTTCATAAAAGTTAGTCTAACTTCCAGTGATTCTCCTGTAGGGTATGGAAAGGCTAAAGAAAATTAACAGCTTAATGTTGTGTGAAATACTAAGTGAATACAGCAGGGTTGAGTAAATGCAAGTGAATTTAAGAACACTAGAGGGAGTGTAGAGAAGGAATTGTGAGAAAACAGGAAAATAAAAACAATGGAGCTGTTACATTCTTGAATAAAGGAACTGTTTAAATCCAAACAAAAGCTGTTTTACCGCAATCAAAATAAAATACTTCCAGGTTCTTCTCTTTCTCTTCTCATTATCTTGACTAAGGCTAATTAATATCACTATAGACACTTATATATGTATGTATAAATTTACACACACACGTATATACACATGCACTCATACATGTACTCACTTGCGCAAACATATTTTTGAATTTCTGAAAACTCCACTCAGGACCCTAATGGGTTGGATGCTATAAGAAAAGATTTAAGAAGAGAGTACCATGTTCTGCTTAGTTGCAAACTACCTTTCTCCTCCTTCCTCCATTCTTCTCTCCTCAAAAAAAAAAAAAATCATAAACAAAGAAACAGGGTAAATCAGAGTAGTCACATACAAACCTCTGGAAATAGCAATGGTCTGTTTTCCATTTATACTTTAGTCAGCAGTTTGACATGCACAAGAAGTGAGAAAGCTTTGTTGGATCTGTACAGTTCTATAGGAAAGGGTGTTTGAGCTGTCAAGTGTGAGGGTACAGGCAGATGATTCTTGACTACGGAGTCTAATAGGAGAAGAGATTGTCTTGCTACATGTTCATGTTCAGCTGTATAGCCTAAAGGTGCTGTAAGGGCTCGCTTGGATGGTTGCAGACGGGACATGTGTACAGTGGGCCCTAGATGGTGGGGCCTGGACAGCACTCCAACAGACCAGTCTCAACATAACTTTTCTGCCTCATACGTAGGTTATGTTTGGATCTGATATCGCTGCTTTCAACGTCAGTAAGGCCTTACAAGTACCTAAAGCTTCAGAAGAAAATACCTTAATCGGTGCTTAAAAACAGAGTTGAAGTTCTAATTGAAAGCTTCCAAAGATACTCTTTCCTGAGTAGATAAGAATTCTAAAGGTATGAAAGTATTGCAGGGAGAGAACAATTTTGATGTAGTCAATGACTTCTAAGCATATTTGCAGCTATAGCAAGTCAATAAAGGGAATATACTGGGGGGGGGGAAAGGCCAATTGCCCAGGCATCAGAATATTCAAGTGAAGCAATGCATAGAGGTAGTCTCTTGGGATTAGGGATAATCATCTATAAAGCACAGAAGCCCTTAACTCGTTCTTATGGAAACATCTGCAATGTGGAGAAACGTTACTTTTTGCTGCAGGAAATAGAGACTGGCCTGGCCTCTGAGTTCCCACTGTTTAAAGGCTTGCAATTGTGAATTTGTTTATCGGGGCATATAATCTGACCTACTTGGACCTTTGTTGACTTCCTGGTGAAAATTGTTTCTCATAAATGTACCTGAATATATTCTCTGGATCTAATGCACCATTGAGTTCATCTCCTTCAGGCTATTAGTTTCAAGCTGTGAGCAGATTCAGACATACATTACCATGTTGGCTCTGTTCAGTTTCCAATTGGAGGATTCCTTTGCATAAAAAGAGAAAATTATTATTCCATTTAATATTTTGAGAAAACATTCCAGTGCTTCAGAATTTGAGTTCATTAAAAAAAAAAAAAAAGTGTTCTGAGCCATTATAGGTCATCATTTGTCATCATACAAATGGTGAGTGGTTTTTATTCTTTATACTGTTCTTCAGTGTTAAAGTACTACATGTTGATTCATCATTTGCATTATCCCTTTCTCATAGGCATACATTAAATTATGGATTTTAGTTCAATTCTACAATTGCTGTTAAAAAAAATTAAATTTTATCCCTCTTTTCTTTCTTTTTTTGAAGAAAGAATTTTTTGGAACTATTTTCTTGACCAAGGTTCTGGTACTGTGCTAGTAAGGCAACCTGTTCAAGAACTGAATTTCCCTTTATGGAGGCAGTAAATTGAGGTAGCTCTGCTGAGCTAAAGCCTAGACTAAGTATTTCTGAAATGCTTACGATGGAGGTGCTATGTAGGCACACTTTTTACTCTGGTTCAGGTTCTTTGCAGAATATTGGTAGGAAGCACAGGAAGCTCTTGCTTCTCAGATAACTGTCATATCAGAATCCGAATGCTTTAGGTATGGAAATTTAGATTTTGGGATACAGTTCTTTGTCAAAGGATGACTTCTGAGCCACTTCCAGGGAAGCAAGGGAAGCTGTATATGTGAAGTCCTATGTATAATGTACCAAAATATAATAGAAAGTCCTACAGACTGAAAGCTATTATGCTGGCATTTTTTCCATTTGGGAGCTTTCTGGTGAGGTATAAAAATGCTGTTTAGTGTTTCCTCCATTCACACAGTTTTCTTTGTGTTCAATGCACAGAAGAGCTTTTATGAAGTAAGAAAAATTAAATAGTACCCTGTTTCCACTAACTTCTATTCCCAGAGATATCTTCAAATACTTTTGGTAGCACGTTAATTGTGCTATTATAATAAGTGGGTGTAATTAGCATTTTTATCAGGGTAAAAGATTCCCTGGGCCTCTATTTCAAAACTAAATTCTAGACTGTAGTACTGGAATGCATTTAAATGCATCAGAGTGTTCAGAATGCTCAAGTATGTCTACAGCAAGTAAATATTGGTAATCAATGCAGAACTGAACATCAGGAAATGCCATTAATCAGCAGCTGTGAAAAGAAAATTTACACACAGTCAGTAAAATTATTTTTTCTTTAATGTTTTAAAAACTAGAAAGCTGTGTTGCCTTTTTCCCAATCCCGCTTTGGACTTGGTTACATGCTCTAACCCTCCCTTGTGGCCAGCATCTCTTAATCTCATAATTTACAGCTCTTTATCAGAGCATGTCATCACCACTGACTGACTCTGAGGTTCCCATGAAAATTTTCTTTTCTTGCTTTGACATTTGAGTGAATCGAGTTAGGAAAGGAAAATCCCAGGCATGGATATCAGGCCTTCCATCAGGTAGGTTTGTTCTGAAAACAAGGTTCTTCAAGCTCGACTTTGTCTCCTGCAGATCTGTGGTGGTCTTTTGAAGGCTGATATGGGAGAAAAAAAATACAAAGTAGCGCAGGGAATGCCTTCTTATCGGCGCTTCAGTCTGGATTCATTTTTCTGGAAAAATTAAACAACTCTGACCATTTCATCTTTTTTGAACCTTCTATAAGAGCATGAATGCAGTTTGAAGTTGCACATGATCTGGTCCAGCAGTTATGGTCTGCTCTATTTGCACTGAATATAGATCTGGGACAGTGCTTGAAACATTAACAGTGATGATCAATGCAGCTACTTGTAGACACAA